GTTATGAGATTTAAGATATTTCATGTAAACATTTGTGTTTTCATTTTATAATTTGTGTTTCATATTAAAATGAAAGAGGCATAATTTGTTTATTTCCTAATTTCTTTATGGTGGTTGCGAGATCGGTCAAATTTACCAAACGCGTACAGAGATTAATTACTGAAAATAACAGATAAAATATAAAGTTTTTCTTAAGAAACGTTTGATAACTATCTGGACATTATAAAGATTCTGCATGTGAAATTTCAAAATTTTCTGATGCATAAAAAGTATTTTTAATTTTAAAATGAAAATTACTTTGCATGATAGATAGGCAAGATGTGAAAAGAAAAAAAAAAAGGCATGAGAAAAATATTGCTTTACAAACCTTAAGACTTAATAAAAAAATTAGATATTATGAAAGTATTGTAATGTTTAATGATAAACTGCCAAATTTCATTGACATTTGCTTACTAATTTAAAAGTTATAGCACAAAAACTATAACAAGCAAAAAATGGTTAAGAGCCCAGGTTGAAAGAGTTAAACAACATGTGATACAAACAAGCAGGTAATAGAGAATAACTTAATTGGCACAAATTGCATTTGGGTTGAAGAAAAAACTAAAAGGCAAACAGAATCTCAAAGCTGAACAGATGCAAATATTTAGATGTATCCAAATGCCAGCCAGCCATGTCAAATTTAGTGAAATGTAATCTGAAACATTCACTTTTAAGGTGTCAGATATTATGATGGACAAAAAGATTCAACTGCATAAGTTAAGAGCCGCAGTCAATGGGTGGGTTAATTACACTTACATGACTCAATTACATCACACAGTTTGCTGGATAGAAGACAGACCAATACTGAGTTGAAACATATAGTATGTTTATCTATTTACTGCTGTATTAGTATAATGTGCTTCCATAGACAAATAGGTACAGGAATGAATTATATATGTTTAAAGCTCAACTTAATTATACAATTATACTTTCTACATCAAATCAATTATTTAGAAAAACTTACAATTTTTTCAGAAGACAAACGCAAAGATTTCTTGTATTTTTCTTCAAAGTATATCCTTTTCTCATATGGAATTCTTTCTTTTTCCAAAACAGATGAACCTAGCTCTGTATCAGTTTCACTTGATGTTGATGTGTATATTTCCTCCTTTGCTCTAAAAGAAAAGAAAAGGCACGTGTCAAAACTTAACATCTAAGCTCCATGATGTGAAATATTCCAAAATATAAATGGAACAAAAACTCTTCTTTTTTTTTCTCTCTAATTTTCTAGCCATTTAAACTTCTATCACATATAGTGTGTTTATATCTGACAACAAATACTGCAACTCAAATCAACTATACATTATGATAAGCACGGTGTTTTTAATTCTTTTTTGGAAAAAAACACTAAACCCAACACAGTAAGTACCATTCAGATTAAAAGCAATGTAAAATTTACTGCTAATCTATCTAAATACTTCAGAAATATACATAAACAAGATGAACAACTACATCTTACTCTAATCAGAGAAAAATAAGAAACAATCAGTACATGAAAGAAGTAAAATCTATTTTGTCTTTCATTAAACATACCTAAACAACACTATAGGATGCATTTCTCATGATACCTAGGTAAATAAGGCCTAATTATTAAGCATTCCTGCAACCCAAACCTTTATTTCATACCTTCTATATATGGTGGCATTTTATATATGAATACCACAGCTATGAGATTTCCATGCTGATATTAGTATATCCATAAATGACATGTGGTAAACAAAAATTGATAAGGATTATATAATGTAAAGATATAGTTCAATTACTATAAAATGTTGGATTATAGGATGAAAGTAACATGTTTGAAAATTACATTCTTCCGGATATTCCATTTACACACCACACATTACTATGTTCTTTGCCACTTTCACTGCCACATTTAGAGATTAACAACCACTGCCAATAAAAAAATAAGGACACTTGTTTTAATGTTTTGTTACTTATGTAAAACTTGAGACTGTTAAACTTTGGGAAGTTTGAAGGACACTACCCTTTCTTCTTCTTCTCCTTACTTTTATTAAATTATTAACTCATCATGTTCAGAGCAAGATCATCCAATATTAGGAAAAACCAGATTTACATGATAGTTTAAATTAGGGATTCGAATTATTTGTTAACATTCGATTACAAAGACTGAGTGTCACAGTAGTTATAATGCTCAACTGTAACATGCAAGCCTTGCATTTAAATCCCAGTCATTTTTTAGAATATTTATTGTCATGTTTCTATATGATGCTTATAACTCAGTAATTAGTTATTGCCAGTTTTTATTTGATGGTTTCATTGTTGTTTATAATATTACTTATTTATCATAAAACTTTTGATTTGATTTTATATTTATGACATTTGTAACAAGCACATGATTTTATATGTATTTGGAGGTTTGGTACATTGTAAAATTTTTGCAAGTTCATCAATTTTTATCACTGAAGAGAGTAGTCCTGTGGTTATAAAGCTAGTTTAATGACAAATTGCTTTATCACTATTTTTATTATCAGTATGTTACACTTCTCATTTACACTTTGAGACTAACCAATCTGCTATCCCTTTTCTCTGATAAGCATTTTGTGGAAATTTCACAAAAACATGTTACCTAGTGTTTTTCTGAATTCTTTTTTGTTTGTTTGTATGGGTAAATTGAATTTGATTTTATTTACAATAGACATTTCCATTTCCCTCTTCTTTTGAGTCTAATCTTTCTTTGTTCTGACTATCTTATAAAACAATAAAACGAATTGCTAAATATGTCAAAATACATCACTTACTTTCTAATCCTTTGAATTAATGAACTAATTATGAAACAATGTTAAAACTCTCTCATTCTGATTCACAAATTCAGGTCAGGAATACAATCATACACTTGTCAGTCTGTACTACAAATCTGAATTTGGAACAAATGTAAACCTCCACCATTCTCTATCACAGGTCTATATCTGGAAGAAGCAATAAAAATCTGGTATTCTCTATCATAGAACAATGTATAAGAAAGCATTACATATTACAGATCAAAGTTTTGATCAAAATTATTCTCTGTATTTATCTAACTTGGCTTCATATATGAAAAAATAATTGTGATTTTGAATCACAAAATCATTTGAAGCAATATTAAACCACCCTTCTATTGTCCCAAATCAGATCCAGTTACAGAATAAAATTAAGCTTCTTAAACACTTGTATCACATATGTAAGTCTGTAATAATCATAGATACACCTTCAAAATGCATTTACTGTTATTATTAAGGGTAAAAACTTACTTGTTCCTCTCATATCTTTGTATGTTTACAGCCTCTTCTGATTCACAAGTGACAACTGTAATACTGGAAGGTTTATTTTCTGAGAGCAGCAATCCTTCTGCTTTCTTATCTTGTCCTTGGATTTGTAAATAAGCATTACCTTCTTCAATCTAGTAAGAGAAAGAAAGCTGTTTTCAGTGTTTTGTATTTTCAACATGAGCAGCTTAATGGCAGGTCAAAAATCTGCTAATATTCAAGTCCAGCCATCCCTAATTTAGAACTGCTGACCAGAGAAAGCACTATCAATCAACAACATAAACCATCTGTAACTACTGTTAACCAAATAGCAGGATTGACTGTTACAGTTACAATGCTCCTATACCTGAAAGTGTTGAGTCTGTTCACAATACTTCACAATTTAATCTTTGGATCTTATAATCCATAGTCTTGCCCAGCTACTTGCAACTGCTCTGTTTGGCTACAACATATATTTATGATAATTATTTATTACAGTGCAAAAAGTATCATACATATAGAAAACACATTGTTTAATATTTATCTGGGTTGAATTTTAAGTAAATGTTTAAATATTTCCTGACTAATAGTCAGACACACATACAACTTTACACAGCATGCATAAAAACATAGCTCAATAATACAATGCATTAGTTTCTCAGAAACAAGTTAATAGCAAGGCTTTTCTTAAGAGAATAATTACAATAAGTAAAAACTGAAGTATTCAGTACAGTCTGGAAATCACTTATAATTATTTTGAAGTGTTTTATCCACAAGTATAGAAGATGAATGTAAATTTAGAAAACCATAATGCTGAAATAAAAAATTTATTCATACAAAGGAGAGGATACCAATTCTACAATATTTAAAGATCCATTCAAACATAAAACTTTATGAAATCACATTAACACTCTTGCTTTGGGCTCGGTCGAATCAGCCAAGTTTGTGACCCCAAAATTGGCCCTTATAGTTTCCATACTAGAACTTCTAGTATGTTTTGTGCATCTTCACTATATTTTGCAAGTTTTCAGTAAGCATTGAGATTCTTTTGTAGACAAAAAATCAGAATTTGTAATGAATTATTTTCACTAAAAATTTCTCTGTGAATATATGGAGTCAAAGTGTTAATTGCTGTGAGTGAAAAGTGATTTTCAAGTTAAGATTAAAAATACTTTTCTATCTGAAAATTGTCAAATTTCATTTGCATAATCTCTTAAACCTCTTAAATACATTTCAAAATTATTTTTTCAGTAAAATTTTATATTTTATCTTCTATTTGTTTTCTACCCTAACTCTATATAAGGTTAATCCATTTGACAGACCTTATAACCACCATAAAAAATATGAAATAAATCTAAATAACCAATTTTTTCTTTCTAGAATGATAGCAAATCATAGCATGAAACTACATTTGTTTATCCTAAATAGCTTTGAACTGATAACAGTATACATATGGTTATGCTTAATTTTATTGCTCTTTGAACCATGTCTAACTAATAATCACCCCTACATGTTGTAAGTCACTTGGCAGATGTGTAACTCTAGTTACCCCATGAAATTACATAACACATGGGCTTTTCTTTATTTCACCTATTCTAATTTTATCTAACCTAAAAAGTTTCTAATTTTATATTCTTATAACTTTTATAACAATGAATAAAGAATACACATGAAAAACAAGAAATATAGTACTTATCTAGATCTTTTTTTTTATTTTTTTGCTTTTGAATATATATGAAACTTAAACCTACTGTTTTACTTCTTACTATCTAAGTGATTAAACAAAGAACTGTACTTGAGAGTTTGATTATATCTTTATTGATGTAATTTGTAAATATAGTACTAAAATATGGAGTTCTTAAAAAAATTGTATTTTTTCAACAAAGGGTACCACTTTTAACATATCAAAACATTACAGTTTATACCAGCACAATCCGAAAACTTTTTCCATGCAATACTTCCCAAAAAAGCTCCTTTTTTTAAGAAAATGTTTACTTTTTCTAATTTTTTTTTTTTCAATGAGGTCTGAATACTACAATTAGTAATTACTAGCACAAACAGCCTCCCATAGGGTGGCATTTCTGCTAGTAATTAAATAATGCACCAAAGAACACAGAATAATAACACATAAAAAAGCATACAATGTCCTATACCTACAAGCTAAACCCGACAACATGTATCCTGTGAGAATACAGTTTGAACTGGAATGAAACAGACAATTTTCTGTACAGATAACAATGTAATATAATACATCAATTGATAGAATAAAAGTTTGGCTTTCTATTGGTTATAAAAAATATAATATTAAACATCAGAGGAAACTATTGGCAATTTGTGAAAGAGAGGATGTGACAGGTGTGGTAAGAGGGGTCTGATTTTCTAGTCTTTGGCTCTGTAACCAAATAATATTGGAAACTATAAAAAATTATGCTTTGCCTGAGCAATAACAATATTATAATAAGTAATTTATGATAAAATTCATACTTCTCGGAAGGGTGGTAAATAAATTAGAGAAGAGGGGATACCTACAGTGCAAATGTCAAAATTCTCATACCAGGGGAAACTGAGGATTTTTTGTTAGTATTGCCTTATAAAATTAATAATTTAAAACTTAAATAATATTAGAAAGTTAGATTGTTAGCTACATCGTGATGCCAAATTTATTCATATACCATGATAATAAAGTAGTTACTTAAACTCTGAATGTAACTCAGTAAAACCTTGTGAAATGCACAGAAAAGGATGTCCATACGGAAAGAGTTAAATACTGTAATGAGTGATGATTTGCCAAATCATAAATGCTTAATTTCTAATCCTTTGTATTACTGAACTAATTATTGAACAACATTAAATAAAGTTCTCTCATTCTGTTTTCACAGCTACAAATGAGGAATGACATCCTATGTAGGTTATTATGTACTACAGAACATTTAGGATAACATTAAATCTCCATCACTCTCTACCAATTTCCTTTTTTGTGAAATGTTACAAATTTCCTAAAGTGATTAAAGAAAGTTACTACGGACCCTATTTAAAGAAAAGCTTAAAAGGAGAAGGTAATTGCAAACAGAGGATTGGCTTTTTCTAAATATATCTAGTAGGTTGCCTTCTCATAAACATCCGGTAAAATTCCTGTAAGAGGTTATAAATAAATGGAAGGACAAAAAAATATTACTTGCTATCAGAAGAACTGTACTCTTCCTGATTGAAAGATAAGTTATGTAATGCTTGCTTTAATCATATGTAGAGCTAAAGTTTATAAGCATGGACATTCAACTTCAAGATACTAATTATTTTTTTTTTAAATAACCAGTTTTGTTTATGATAGGTAAAAACAAACTTGTTCCTCTCATATCTTTACATGTTCAGAGTTTCATCTGATTTACAAATTGGCAACTGTAATACTGGAAGGTTGTTTATTTTTTTAACTGCAGAAATGCTTTCTCATCTAACTTGGATTAACTAAAGCAGCTTCAGTTTTCAAACATTTATCCCCAAAAGTTCATTATTATGTTGTTCCTTACCTACTTTAGCATCTTCAAATATATTTTACAATAAAACAAAGCAGTGAAAAAGACACTAGAAAAATGTTTTATCTACACACTTTGCAACATTTTGCAAGTTCTGTCTGTCTGTCTATTCCAAGTTCGGTAAATACTTACTTCAAGATATTATTAAATTATATGTAAGTATCATAACTAGCTACAGATCTCAAGGTAAAATTTCATGAAAACTATTCAAAGACATTACATAACTTTACATCAACAAACTTATGTTATTTTCAGTGATCTTTGTTTGTTTTGAATTTCACGCAAAGCTACACAAGGGCTATCTGCACTAGCTGTCCCTAATTTAGCAGTTTAAAACTAGAGGGAAGGCAGCTAGACATCACCACCCATTGCCAACTCTTTTACCAACGAATAGTGGGATTGACTATCACATTATAATGCCCCCACGGTTGATAGGGTGAGCATGTTTGATGGGACAGGGATTTGAACCCGCGAATCGCAGATTGCGAATCGAGCTCCCTAACCACTTGGCCATGCCGGGCCCTTCAGTGATCTAATTACTGTTTATTGTTAAGAAATTTTAGCTAGTTGTGAATGTTTACTACCTGTCTAGTATTATGACAGTTATTATTTCTATAACTTTTATGAATGTAAGGAGAAAAAAAATTAAGTACAAAATTATCTCACCTGAAATGTTCTCTTGTGGCCAACACTTTCTAAGTCTGTCCTCACAGTTTGGATTTCAAGTCCTTGATTTTGCTCAACTGGACGTCTCCATGACCACCACGAGTAGGAACTTTGTTTTTTCTTCTTTGGCATATGGCTATTCACAAGTTGTGCAACTGATTTCTTTATGAAGTCAAAATATCACAGGTTACATATTACATTTCAAAGTTGAACGTAAAGCTCTGTATAATTGAGTCATTGTTCAGACAGTCATAACACTCTATTTAACAAAAAGGGCACAGATTACTATCAGACCTTCAAATTAAATTAAGATTATAAAACTAGTTCAAGCATGTTAAATTACAAGATTCATACAAAATCAATTACAAAGATGAACTATTGATAACCTACATAACAGAGAAGAAAACAAAGTATGATATAAAACGGTTAAATCAAATTGTTAATTCCAGCAAAAAAATAAGTACAGTCCAAGTGAGAAAGCAAGATCAATCTAAAAGCATTACAAAAAATTTGGCAAGGCAGAGTTAAAGCATCTACAAAGAAAAGTGTTACAGCAATACTTAATTCTGTTTGATATAATCCTTAGTTATAGCATTTATGGAGGACAAACTTAGGCTTTCTAAATGTTTGATAATGTCTTTAGCTGTAACGCTTAGTGATTAATCTCAGTCCAGCAAGTGTTGGATTCCATCCTTAATTCAAGTTTTTGATACTGCAATTTAACAAAAGACTTAGTGGTTAACCATTGTTGGTTTTCAGTACTGTACTTGGCTGTGTGGTTTAATTGTTAATCCAAATCCAGTAAGTGCTTAGTAATAACATTTATAAAAGCTAGTCCCTTAACTCTTTCAGCACAGGCTCAGTACCTGGGACTGACCTCGAAACCATTTTGTGCTTTTTATAGTTTTCATGCTAGAACTTTTAAATTAGTAAGCGAATGTTAACAAAATAAGGCAGATTATCAGTAAACATTACAGTGCTTTCATATGCAAAATACCAAATCTTTTTATTAAGTTTTAGGTTTGTAAAGCAATGTTTTTCTCATGCCTCATTTTCTTTTCACATGTTGCCTATCTGTCATTCAAAGTAATTTTAATATTAAAAATACTTTTATGCATCAGAAAATTTTCAACTTAAATCACATGAAAAATCTTTATAATGTCTTCTCCATAGTCTTGTAATCCCTTCCAAATCTGTGTAATATTTGCTGTGGAAATAAACAGTCGACAGGTTTATCTTTATTCACAGTTGAATACCGTATGTAGCTACAATCACTATTTTATCTTACATCTATATTTTTATGATATTTCTTTCAACAATAAGTTTTTATTATATTGACCTTTCAGCCATGCCTGGCTAACAATACAGAAGTTGCAATAATGTGGCTCACGTGCACTCACGCTACCCTATCAAATAACATAAAACAAAGTAATTTGGTGTGTACAAAGTAACTTGTCTTGGCTATGTTTTAGTAGCCTAGTATTTTGTAAAATACAGTCACATTTCAATTATTATACATTATATATGTATACAGATTATTGCTGTTTTGAAATAAGTTCTTAAACTTATTTTTCTTAAAACATAAAACAGTAACTAAAGAAGTAAAGCAAACATTTATCTCTTCTAGTTACAACCTTTGTACTCGGTTGCTGCTTGACGTAGGTTGCAAAGCCTTTTAAAATTTGGCACGTGGAAGATATGAAACAAAATAATTTTTTTTAGGTTTTATATATATATACAGTTGAATAACTAAAAAATCATAAATTACTACATCAATACCATAGAATTCCACTATAATTTATCAATCTTAGTAACTAAGACATATTTTAGTCTAAAAAAAAAATGTTGTTGACTACAATTTCAAGTATATATATTAGAAGGAAAGTAATTATTAAAAGGTCAGATAACTGTTTGATATTATCATTAGTTTTAAAAGTTAATTGTTACCTCAGTCTCACTACTTGTTTGATTTTGCCCTCAATTACAGCATTCTGTGATTAATCTAGGTCTGGCACATGTTTGCTATTATCCTTATTAAATAGTGCTTAGTGGTTGGCACCCACCAAATGGGGGTATTTTATATTGTGCTTAGTTAAAATGTTTAGCTACCAATCAAAATTTAAAGAATATGATTTCATATCATTCACAGAAGTAGTGTTTAATCTATAATATTATCAAACTAGAAATATATCTGTTATAATGTTGAATGTGATTGGAAATCTTATGTAATAGTATCCCTATCATCAGTTTATTTACCAATTTTTTTTTTTTACATTATAGTTTTTAGTTCTGATTGTAAATTTATGTGAAAAGTTACAATTACAACAATATTTGATTGAGGCTGGCAACATATTTTCAATGAATTTAAAATCTGTTCATGACAAAAGTACTTACAGTTGGCAAGGGCTGACGATACGTTGCAAGAGACATAATCATTGGTGCTGCTGTCTGCCAGTTGTAATACCTATAACAAAATATAATTCATTAAAACAAAAAAAAACACTACTCTGCTAGCTGAAAAGAAGAAGAGAAAAACATAAAGCCATACATCAATTTACAAATAAAAAAGCATTGAAGATAAATATTTGATAATCTCAAATCTGATAGATGGTAGATTCTCACTGCTGTGAGGGACTCAGTCTGCATATACTTTTGCTATTAAATAAAAAATTTATCAATTGGAACCAAGATAAGTTTACAGATGTAGCAGTTCTATGTAAAAAGTATGTTATACATAAACTGTACATACATACAGTTTAAAGTATTAGCTAGTCACACTTGTACTACCTGACAGTAATCTAAAAAAAACAAAACATTTTAGATCACATCTACAGGTTTACACCTTTATAAATTATAAGTACTATAAATGTTTACAATATCAATTATCTATACGTTTCTAGAATAATTGTTAATAATAAAAGCTATCCCAAACACCATCTACATGTATATGAAAACAAAGATTCTAGACTGATTGCTAGCATAGCAATTATCTAGAACATTAATTACATACATGTAGCAAAACACAAAGTTTTAGACAATAGCATTAACTATCTGCATATATATATATATATATATGTAGGGGAGTTTCTAGACTAACCATAGTACACTACTTACTACATAGCTTAACCCATTCACTGCAACTGGTACATATATATCCTCCAAATGTTTTATTCTGTTCACTGCATCAACTCAGAGTCAATGCTATCCAGTAAAACCATAAAATAATCTGGATTTTCCCCAGCTTCGGCAGCAGCTGCTGCCTTGGCAATGAGATGTCGTCATACAAGTTGCTCTGTCATCTTGAGGAAAATTGATGCATAGAAGGTGGAAATAATTGACTTAATGCATGTCAACATACAGTAAAATGTTGACGAACAACATTACCACAATACAATACCTTGCATGGGAATTTTAAAATCAAGAATCTATATGTGTACCAGCTGAAGTGAACAGAAACAAATTTAGAGACTACATATATACCAGGTGCAGTGAATAGATTAAGGACCACCAATGATTGACTCACACAACCAAGAAAAATGACGTGCTGATTTTTCAAATTAAAAAAAAACATTTTTTTAATATGTAAAATGTTCCTTAGTTTTTGACTTAATTTGTAGTAAAGGATTGTATAAACAAATGTTCTCACATTGCATTTATTACTAAAGAGTTACAAGAAGCCATTATGTATCACTTGACATATGAAAATACAACTGACAAATATATAAGTAAATATTATTATTGAAAAACACTAACAATATCTACATTAATAATAAAACTACTGACGCTATGTTAATATTATGTTATCCAAGACATATATATATATCTTAAAAAACAAACATGTAAAAGAAAAAAATTAATTAACCTTAGGACAATTACCAAACCCAAACGTGTACAAGTTTATATATAAATAACCAGTTTTTATGCAATATGAACTGAGAACAGATTGTGAAGTCTGAAATAACCTGTTCATCATATAGAATTCCCTGTAAAATATAAGTTGTTTTTTTATATTTCATGTGATAACACAGTTAATTCTATATGAAAACTAGTTGAAACTTTTGTATGTTCATTAAGTAAATGTATACATCAAACAAAGCATGAGAACTCACTTTCCACCCATTCTAACTACTAAATCTGAGTTCTGGAACAATATCGGATTCTCACAAATCTCATCATATGTCACCAAGAAATTCTGGAATCTTTCTGAAGATATATCTTCTCCATAGTCTTGTAATCCACCACACAAGGATAAAGCCAAATCTGTGTAATATTTGCTGTGGAAATAAACAGTCGACAGGTTTATCTTTATTCACAGTTTAATACCGTATGTAGCTACAATCACTATTTTATTTTACATCTATATTGTTATGATATTTCTTTCAACAAACTTATAAGTTGTTATTATATTGACCTTTCAGCCATGCCTGGCTAACAATACTGAAGTTACAATGACGCGGCACAAGTGCGCTCACATTACCGTATCCAATAATATAAAACTGACCTTTAGTCTGTACAAAGTGATCTGGTTTAGTAGACTAGTATTTTGTAAAATACAGTCATATTTCAATTATTATACATTATATATGCATATAGATTATTGCTATTTAGAAAGAAGTTATTAAACTTACTTTTCTTAAAACATAGAACAATAAATAAAGCAAACAATTATCTATTCTAGTTATGACTTTTGTACTCAGTTGCTGCTTGACATAGGTTGCTAAGCCTTTTAAAATTTTGCACATAGAGGAAATGAAAGGAAATTTATATATATATATATACACACAGTTGAATAACCAAAAAACCGTAAATTACTATATGAATACCATAGAATTCCACTATAATTTATCAAGCTTAGTAACTAAGCTGTATTTCACTCTAAAAAAATATAAAATTTTGAGCAGACTGAGGACACACCCTACCTCCTTGAAATCTTGGTTCAAAAGAAAGAAATGGCATCCTAAGAACTTAAAATGGCTAAGAAAGCCACTAGGGGGACATTCTGAGTTTTTGATTGGTTATTAATGTCATATATAGAAGTGTATATAAGGGAGTGTTTCCAAAAATGGAAAGAGGTGGGCAGGGTGCCACTGTGTGTGATTTATTACAAAAGCAATATTGAAAAGATAAGAGGCTCTTATTTTATATTCTAACTTGTCAATATTGGTAATTTGAGTTTCTAATTCGTACGAAATTATAAACTTAGTATTTTGACTTTACAAACACCTAATTTGAACCAGTGCTGCATTCAACATACCACATGACCCACAAAAATTGATGTTTATTTGTGTTTTTTAATATTTACTATTAAATTAAGAAACTGAGTAAGGTATAATACTAAAATTTGAATTATAATCTATAGTTTGAAACTTACTGACATAAATTCATGAAATAGTAGTTCAATAAAATTTTGAATGCGAGTCAACAAATGCGATGACATGGCCTTTCACCTATGACCCATCTAGAAAAAGTTAAACAAACCAAAATATTTTTAACCCTAGGAGTTACATTACATGTATACTTTTCTTTCTTTTTCTCTTTCTGATGTATCATAAACCATGCTTTAATATATTTATAATTGTCTTGATGTTCTCTATTTCCACCTTCTTCTCCTCCTCCTTACTTCATCTTAGCTGAGCCCATGGAGGTAGTTTGCTCTGATCAGAAGTTAGTATTAATGGCAAATGAATAAACGTTTAAAAAGATTCAGGTATAGGATGTCATGCAATTCAAGCAATATATACTCAAAGAGTCTACATATATAACTCAAAAATATTTTCAAAAAATTAGTGTGTTTCATCAAATAACTGATCAATAACCCAGAGCTTGGTGAAAATGTAAAACTAAATTGAACATTAAAAGTCAAAACAATATAGGACTTGCATACTGATTTCAACATATGATGTTTATTAGTTTTATCTCCTGAATTAAAATAGCTTATGCAACTTAGAAGTACATTTAAATAAATGTTTACTGAGAACATTAATAGCTATAATTATCAAGGGGTCAAAATCGAGTCCTTGTAATAAATTACACAATGAAAAATAAAGCAAAAAGAATAAAAATCACATGCATCAAATAAACTTTATCTACATCTTAACTGCAAATCTATTACACTTTAAACCCCCCCCCCAGTCTTTGTTTTAACATCTCTTTCTATGAAAATAAAAACAATAAAAAGTAATGAGTCAATAAAAAAAAATCAAAAAGGTCAGGAAATAAAACAAGAGTGTCTTTATGATATTTAAAGCCAAACAGGATCACAGCATATTGAATATCAGGGATAACTGCTGACATTTAATGTAAATACATGCACCAGATGAAGGTCATACAAATTTGTAGTTAGCCTATGCATAATGCAATGTATATTGTAATTATTTTTGAATAGTGCATGTTATAACAGCA